ACACCCTCTTGAGGGTTAACACCCCCTTTGAGGACATTTACTTCTGGTATTTCAAAGGTGCGTTAACCTAGATGCCCAAGAACAATGGACAGGGCTTGCTTAAGGCAAAGGTAACCCTTTTACTAAAAAGTTATACGCCTGAGGTGTGACTACCCACCATGACCTGCCCAGTTAGGAATTTATGATCAGATCACCCTGTGAGGTTACTTTCCACAGAACTTTTTCATCCACAACACCTTATAGATCTCCTTTGAGAGACTCAATGCGCTTGTAATTACTTGACCCTACCCCTACTAGCCAATGGTGGTGTGTGTGTGTGTGTGTGTGTGTGTGTGTGTGTCACCTCCATCTCCCCAGCAGGAAGAATAGTGTCTGGCACAAACAGGCACTATGTTGGGCTCACTGGCCAACTGGTGGAAAGATTCAAGCCTGTCATTAACACCCTCAAAATCTCAGATTAAATTTCCATCATCCCCTAAAATCAGCCCACTCTCGATACTGGGGACTCCTTCCTGGTCCCCAGAGCTGCCCCGCAATTTCCTTTCCCTTCCCACTGGGTCTTTGCACACTGTTCCCTCTGCCAAGCACACTGCCCTCCACTCTCTCTTGTAGAGACATTCACACCTCTTCCAGCCCAGGGCCCCTTCCACTGGGGAACCTCCAAAACCCCCCACTTGCCACAGGGCCAGACCACACAGCGCCTTCCATAGTGAATGTCTCCCTTCCCTGTCCTTCCTCTCCTATCCACTCGTCACCTCCTCGAGGGAAGCCCTGGTGTGTACTTAATTGATGTCTCAAATGAAAACATCTGACTGTGAAGCAGAGACGCCTCATGTAATTAACACTTACAAATAATAGTATCCTATACAACTGTGTCTCCCATAGTGCCTTTCATGGTGTCATGCACTTAGTAGGGACACAAAAATATTTTTGAATCAATGAGATATTCTCCCCCTCAAACCTGTAAGAATATGACAATGATGATCTCCATCTACGCATTCATTTTTAAAGTTAATGTAAATGCGGTTCCTATGTTTACAAGGTGGGAAAGGTGTCTGTTTTCATCGGTGAACAAAGCCCGTCTTTTTAGGATTATTGCATCTTTATTTGAGAAACAACTATAGGCCTTATGCAGCAGATCAAGGTAGTGACTGTCTTTGCCAGTGCACCAGACACGCCGCTGCGTAAGGGAAAAGGAATTTCTCCCCGAGCTGATAATTGCCAACATGCTCGGCAACGTCTGTCTCCTGGGCTTCTGGGTAAGTCCACGAATGTGAAGGCATGGAAATCCACAAAGCACTGAAAGAAGGGGCAGACTATATTGCCGTCCATAGCCATTAGTTTATTTTCCATGCTAATGCTTCATGATTGTATTCAGTTCAGAAAATAGAGCCATTGGGATCCTCAAAACCACCGCCTAAGTATATACCCGTAGAGACAGAAAGAGGATTGTGGCTGACAGGGACTTGGGGGTGGGGCGAGGGAATGGGATGTGACTGCTTAATGGGTCAGGGTTTCCTTTAGGGGTGATGAAAATGTTTTGGAATTAGACCGAGCTGGTGGTTGTACAGCACTGTGAATATAGTACTCAATGTCACTAATTTTCACTTTAAAATTTTACGTTTAAAATTTTCACTTTAAAATTTTACATTTAAAATTTTACTTTTATGTTACGTGAATTTCACTTCAATAAAAAAATTTACATATCATCTAAATAGCACGGAACCCTTTCTAAACACCCTACAGGACAAGGCAGAGATGAATTCCAGAAGAGCCCCAGACTTCAGGTCCCACAGCACCCTAAACTTCACCTTCAGGTAGGAATGGGGTCCCCCCGTATAAGCAGGGCCATGTTCCCAGTGTCCTCGTGGACACTCAGCTGAGCACCATGGAAACCGGGCCAAATGCGCTGGGCATTTGTATTTGGGTTTGTTCTCCATTGGCTGGCACAGCCCTTGGGAAGGTGTTTAGTTTAAGGACTTTCTAGTTCCAGAGGTGCAGCCTGAAGCAGGGTTTTATTACTTTTCCTTTAAACAAGTGGAACTTTCCAGAGACAACTGGCAGACTGTGGATAGACCCCATAGCTTCGCAGGGGTGTCTGTCCACCAGGGCCCAGTGGAGACGAAGGAGGATCCTGCCCAAAGGGCAGGGCCGTGGGCTGCGTTCCTCTCCATGGCAGGCACGCTCTGCAGAGGCTAAGGCCTCTGCATGTAAAGAAGGGTGAGTGGACTTGTCCCAACAGCTCATGGCTTCCCAGGAAACAGTCCTTTTCTTGTCTTGTCAGGGGAGGAGCAGACTGTCATCAGAGCAAGGGCAGGTGTAGCGTAAGAGCAGCATCCAGATCAGGTGAGTGGCCGGCCTGGGGGAAGCCATCAGCTCTCCTCCTCCCTGGGGCCAGCTGCGTGTGGGCCTGGTGGGGCCCTGGATCAGGGCACGGGGCTGCCCACGTCCAAGTACCCCATCCAGCCTTTAAACACACAGGGCCCGCAGGGAAATCACACCCTACCATTTCCAATGTGGCTCTGGAACCCAGGCCCAGTGGCTGTCCTATAATCAAGTTGCATCCGTCAACGTTATAACCAAGGCCCATGGGGTTTAACCACTTAAGCTTCTTTCTTCTTTTAGCACCTCACCCATGTCGTCACATACATTGTCCCATTCAGTCACCCAAGAGACAAATGTTGCTGAACATCTTGGAAAACACCGGCTCCTGGAAAAACAGTCCAGTGAACAAGGGCAGCCTGGTGACAATGTTGTGCTCATTTGGGGAAGCCTGGGTCCAGAAGCAAAGGAGAGTCCTAGGGCTCTCTTACCAAGACATCTTTCCCGGGAATGGACTCCGCTTAATCCCTAAAACTCCACTTTCGTTGGAAATGTAATCAATAGAGTTTGCTACCAACCCAGGACCCTGAGCAGGTTTGGACCAAGATAGTCCAGACTGAGAGGTGACTGCAGAATTCCCTGATGAACCCTGTTAGGTTTGGGACCCCAGCAGGGGTGGCCCCTTATTGTTTTTCTCCAGAAGAGACAGAAGAGCTGTCCGGATGCCCTGAAGGCACTTCAGCTGTGCGAGGTGGGACTGCTGATGCCTCCACATAAGTGCCTGGTGATCTGACCTCTTTGATGGGGGTGGGGCAGGTAAAAGGAGGAAATTTTAACAGACAGAGCTGACTTAGAAGTGCTACTGAAGACGAAAAACATTACAGAAGTGCCTAGGCCTGACAGGTAAACATAGACACACGGAAACTGGCTTCTCCGGACAGTGTAATCCCCGGGGCGCACGGAGGCTGATATGAAAGTTCGAGCACCTGCCTCCCAGACGCTTATACCATGGGGGGACACTGGTTGCTCAGGAAAGCAAAGGTGCCACTGAGACCCTCAGACTCTTTTTGTGTTGTTTGTTCAGTGGAAGAGGTCGCCAGGAGGCCGGGGGCTGAGACTTCTGAGAGCCCCATCCCCTGGCACCCCAGGCCCGCTCAAAAGGGAAAGGAGATAGCGTGATCCTTCTGACGTGGGTGCTCCTAATACCGTCATTACCCTCCCCCTTTACAGAAGAGAACTCTTAAGGCTCAGTGAGGTTCAATGGCTTTCTCCCAACCTCACGGACAATGAGTAGTGGGACAGCCCAGCAGCCAGGGCCCCTGACTCACGGTCCAGTGCTCTCGGGTCCTTCCCCCCAGGACGAGGTCTGCACGCTGAGCTTGTCCGAGCAGATTTGGAGCAAGTGGTGTCATGCTGCTGGCTAATTCTCAGCCGACCACTTACAGCATTAACTAATGACAGGTGTGCCTCCCTCCCGTTTACACCTCGAAGAAGGAGCACTCCGAGCAGCATTCCCCGTTTACCCCAGGTCTCCTGGTCGACGGGACAATGGGGCTGGCTGATACTGCTGCATGTTCCACGCCTCACAATCCGTGTCTATTGAAAAAGGAAGTCTGCTTATTTGCTCAACTCGTTGTTTGCAGGGCCCTTTCTGGGCATGATCTCATTCGACCTCCTGGATCATCTGAGTGATACCTTTAATTGGTTCTTTGAAGATTCCTGGGTTTCCAGAGACAACCTGTTCCAACAAAATACCCCCAGGAAGGGAGAGCACCTTGAACTTTTATTGGCTCACACCTTGGTGGTAGTTGGCAGCTTGCTGAGAATCAGGCCCTGAGAAGCAGGAAACAGGATTGGGAGGGTCAAGAGAAAGCAGACAAGAAAGGAGGAGGGGGAGCTATCAGCCCCTCCCAGTAGCCCACCTCAAGGTTTTGCAGAAAGAGGCTCTTTCCAAGCCATTCCCTGGCCCCCTTCCCCGCCAGAGACACCAACTCTACCCACAAAGGCAAAGGTAGAAAAGACAGAAGGAAAAGTGACAGGAGAGACAAGAAGATGGAATAAACCAACCATAAGAGGCTCTTCAATCTTAATTCATTTTATTCTACAAAATGCTACTCAATTGAAAGTGGAAAAGCTACAAAAAAAAAAAAAAAAAAAAGGCAAAGGGAAAAAAAGTCTCAATGTTCTTTCTTCCATAGCAGCAAGCTTTTTCTAATAAGCTTTCTTTAGTGCAAATACTGTAGCCTGTATTACAGTAAAATTACGAAACAAAACTAGAAAACACCACCAGAGATGCTTCAGAGCAGACATACTCCTCAATTTTCAAAACTGTACAAAGATTTTTGAGCTCATGGTCCTGCCTGGAGAGGCCTATTTAGAAGCCTTTCCTATGGGACCATTTCACCAATACTTAAAAAAAAAGATGCTCAGGAAGGTAATAAAATCCCCCATAGGGCTACAGGAATCTTACACAAGTTGTTTGCCTCCAGGATCTGATAGCAGACTTTACGCCACATCATTGACATATCTCAAATACAGACGCACAAAGCTTACCACTTTCCACTATATGCCGAAATACTATATGTACAGCTCCCACCGCAGGAAAGACACCCTGATACCTACTCTTTATACAAAGGTGAATGTTTGCTTCCTTGACATCAAGTAACCACAAACTAAAATAACTGGAATAAACTTTTAATCATACAGAGAAAATAATTTTTAAGGAACAGGGCAGGATCTTTTGTTGTGTTCTCTCACGATGTAGACTTCTTGGGGACCATTGTCCCCAGGGGAATGACAGTCCATCTTTAAAAACAGAACTTTTTTATACAGTTTATACAGCACAAGTCACAAATCATTTTAGAAACAACAAAACATCATTAGCCTAAATTTAAAAAAAAAAAAAATTAGGAAGAGAGGGAGAGAGGAACTGAGTACTTTAATGCTATCTGTTTCTATCCGGGCTGGGTATAACACAAAGATGTAAACATTTAAAATAAATAATAAAATAAATGTCCATTTCTTCTCCCTCTCCCCTTCCCATACCCTCCTCAAAATTTGACCCGGTACCTCCTGAACATGTCGGCACTGGAAAATTAAAACCCTTTGTGGATGTTCGGCCAGAACACTAGAAGCATTAGGAGATGTCAAATTAGTGGTGGGATGACTGGGTTTCCTTTTTAAAAGCTGCAGGAGGACATGGGCACACCTGGAAATGTATACACACACACACACACACACATACACACACGCACACCCCAACCTGTCAATAAATAGTGAGATGCTGGCTTTTAAGATGAATGCCAAAGAGACTCAACAAGCAGAAAGTAAGCAAGACCCCTTTACTTACATTTTTAAAAGCAAGTTATACATATCCTATTGGTCCACAAATTCTATGAGGACAGATTACCCCTCCAACCATCTAAAGAGTGCAAAGGAGCACATCACGGGGCAGAGAGAAAAGAAGAAATTTAGAGGTGGAAGGGTACTGTAGGGGGTAGGTCTTTGAGAATGAACCTCAGACTGACAACAATCTTGCCTTGGATTTTTGAAGAAAGACCTTCTCATCTCCAAGTTTTTGTTTATCCATGTCTTGGGGGCCTTTAATAAGGCAGGCCCTCATCCTAAAGAGAGCATATTTAAAAGTGCCTAACACAGTGCCTGGCACATAGTAGGTGCTTATTCTTTTCCTGCTTAAAGGGGCCACACAGATATCCGATCAGGAAGGAAATCAACCTGAAAGTTAAAAGGTGAAATTGCAAGGAGCACTGTTGGGCCATCAAGGACAGGGGAGGTAAGTTCCCAGCACGTATGGAGTTAAGGCCACCCTTACACTTGGAGCCAAGTGGGAGCAGACAGGAAACTCCTTTCCCCGAAGCCTGAGAAAGGGCGGCCGCAGCCTCTGATGGCTCTTGGCTCTGAGACGCCTGTGTGACTGGCCACAGTGGACACACCTGGCCTTTCACAGAAGGCAGAACAGTGATTTCTTTCTGAAAACCTCCCCAGCGAATTCTCTGCCTAGAGCTGGCTCCAGCAATTTCCTAAGCTTCACCTGGGACCTCTTCTCTTTCCTGGGTCAGCAGCTATCCCTGTCCACCCAGCCAGGAAGAGGACTGTTCCCAGAGAGGCCAGCCAGGCGGCCAAGACGACTGTGAGTCACACCAGCTTGTCAAGGAGTGCCTGCCCTATGCTGTCCCAGAGCTGCCTGCAGCCCAGCTGGAGTCCACCCCAGCTGCCTCGCGGCTGGGGACACAGGGGAAGCACAGCGGTTCCCGGGCCATGGCAAGGCCCCGCCGCAGCTGTTCCCTTAGCTGGAGCCACGGGGCAGGAAGCGGCGGGCCTGGTGTCTGGCGATTCTGGAGCAAGGGGGCGTGTGCGGGAACTTGGAGAACAAGCCAGAGGAAGTACCTGAGGATGTGCTCTCATCTTAGGTGTGACAGTCAGCCTTCCCCCAAACCTCCAAACCACCTCCTAGAACAAAGCCAGGGGCCCCCCCGATTGGGAACGCAGCTCAGAGGCCTCTGAGTCCTGTGAGGTGGCTGGGTTGTTGCCTCCTGCTGGCCCCGAAGCCAGCACAGCTTGAAATCCGAACTAAAGCCAGACTCCATCTCAGGAATGTCCAGCCTGTCCCCACATCACAGGTTGTGACCTGAACTGGGATCAGTGCTGTGCAAACGAGGGCATAAAGAGACTTTAGAAATGAAACATCAGAAAGCAGCTTCATTTGAGAGAGAGAGAGAGAGAGACGTAGAAGCAAATAGTTCCCACTTGGCCACAAACACCACTTGAGATGATGAAGCTCTTCAGAGCTGAGAGCACCCCATTTTCCTGCCACTCCTTCCTGACTCTGCTTCTCTGATTAACCTGAAGCTGGAAACCCAACTGCCCCTTCTGACTGGGCAGCCTCTCCCAGCCCCCCTGGAAACTCCAGGGCAGCACCGTCAAGGAATGCAGGGAGTGACATTGTAAAGTACTTTGAATCTCCTTTTTCTTTCAACCCCCCCTCCTTCCACTCGCCACGTCCAGTCCTGGTGGGCTGTGCTTTAAGCATAAGCCACTCAATTCTGCGTGTCTAGCAGGTAACGGACATTAAGGACCAGCAGAGGCCCAGGCGTGTGAAAGGAGCAAGTGAGCTAAGTGCCATCGCTCTCTCCTTTAACCCCCACTGGGCTGGGCTTAAATAACAGCTACATCGTTTTAAATTATCATACACTAATGTCTAGAGCCAGGATCGCGACAGCAGGGGCTCCCTCAGAGCACTGGCCCAGCAGAGGCCAATTCTAAATCAGGGGCCATGCCCTGGGGAGAAGGCGGCTCAGGGGGGTGGGAAGCAGGGAGCATGCTGAGCTGTGCTGCACTGTTCTATTTGGGGGATCCCTTCCCCACCCTCCCCCCGTGGAAAGGAGGACAGCTCTCCGGCAGTGAGAAACATCACATCCCATCTCCCATTTCAGCAGCCCCCGGGAATGGTGCACAAACCAGAGCACAGCTCTGGGCCAGCTGTGGGAGCCGAAGAGCACCCTGGGGCGAGGGGGGTGGGGCATATAAAGAGAAAGCACTTGATCCATCAGATGGCAATGGGCACTTCAGAGAGGTGAGCAGCCAGGGCAGGGCAAGCCAGGTACCAGGGCTGGTGAGAGGTGAATCGACTCCACTTGCCTCCCTCCCCTGCCTTCCCATCCACAGCAAAAGTGCCTTTGAAGCTTGGGGAGGGGCCACCTGGCAGCAATCTGGGGAGGGTCCAGGCCCAAGCTCATTAAATCTCTGTGGGTGGCGTCACCCCGAGAGCCAGGGTGGGGGAGGGCGGAGCCGGCAGGGACGTGGAGTGATGTGTGGTTCCGAGGGAGGGACACCTCCCTGGTCTGGAGAGAAGGGTCCAGGGGCAGAGTAGCGAGGCAGTAATTACAGGAGCTGTCCTGCTCAAAACACAGGTGAAGGGAAGCCGGCTGGAACACCGTGTGGCTTCTTGGCACTATTCCTGGCCTGTTAATTAGGCGTTTGGCAAACACAACCTGTGCCCCAGCTGTCTCTCTCACACCCTGTCTTCTGGCCAAGCTGCTCCTCCAAGAGCCGTCTCGGAGAATGGGGAGGAAGGGTCCTCTGAGACCTCCCAGTGGTGGTAGCATCTCCTCGAGAGCTCACGTAGCTCTGCAGGTGCTTCTGGAGATGGTAGTGGCCGGGGAGGGTCAGGGGAGGGAAGGTTCTGTATTGCACATTGACTGTCCCCTTCTGGACAAGTCAGCCCCAGCAGAAGAGCCACCTGCTGCCCCATCTCCAGAAATGAAGAGTTTTAATATTCAGACCACCCAGATGAAATGTCATGGCAAATTTGATAAAAACCAAGAGGAAGTGAAATTCACACTGGGGGATGGAAGGGGCAAGTAGAGGGGAGGTGAAACCAAAAGGCACCAAGCATGCTTGGTGGGGCAGGGAAGGACACCGTCACTCCAGAGACATTTCGTAACAAAGGGAAAGAAATGGTCCACACCAGCTTCAGGCTCTTCAGAAGCCACAGAGATGCCCGAGTCCACAAAACGAAGTCCTCCAAGGCATTTCAAGAAGCAGGATTTACTTTGCAAGATGAACAAGGGAGGAGGTTCCAGGACTTCTAAGAGATCATCCAAGCCCTCCAGCACCTCACTGCCAAATGCCACCTCAGTCTCCCCAGAGCCAGGAAGCTCTCGGCAGAAGCCCCCGTGTGCCCTCACAGCCCTGGAGCGCTTGAAGGTGCTGGTCCCTGGGAAGGAGGCAGTGATGAGGACCCCGGGCCACTGGGTTACAGAGCCAGCAGGGTGGGGGAGTTCAAGGAGTCTGATGACTGGTCCCCACTGCTACTGCTTCTGCGGTGAGCCTTGGAGCAGGACTCCGAGGGCGATGCGGGCGACTCCTGCTCCAGGACGCTGGGATAGGTGAAGACGAGGTTCGAGGTGCCTGGAGTGATGGCAGGTGTGGAGGTCACCACGATGGGGGTGTGCAGGGGCTCCTCCCCATAGAAGCCCCCGGCAATGCTGATGGGCTTGATGACAGAGCGCTGGGCCTTGTCTAGCCCCCCTGATGAGGATGAGGGGCTATCTTCTTCCAGGGGCTCCTGCTTCACCACCACGGCGCCCACTCCGCCGCCCCCGCCACGCAGGGGCTGCAGCCCAGAGGCGGGGGGCGATCGGCGCTCCTCGGGGCTGATCTTGCACACAGGCCCATGGGCTACCAGCATGAACTCCAGCTTCTCCTTCTCCTTCTGCAGCTCGGCGATCTCTTTCTGCAGGCCCGACTTTTCCTCCTCCAGCTCCTCCGTCTCCTACGGGAGAAAGAGAAGCATGTAAGGGACAGCAGCCTGCCAGGGAGGGGGCGGCGGTGGGTGGGTGATTCAAATCCAGGCAAGAAAGGGAAACCAGCAATGTCCTTGGAGGGCCGATTGTGAAAGCAGCCAGCTCACACCTGGCCGTAGACCCCACGGTGGTGAGTCACCTGGAGGCTCAAGAGTCCCTTTATTTCCAAAGCTCTAGATTGAGAAAGGAGGCCAGGTGGCCTGGAGGAAAGGTGACATGGCAACAGTAGCTGCCCTGACTGAGTGCTTACTTTGTGCCAGGCACTGTGTTAAGCATTTCATAGGCTTTATCTCATTCAATCCTCTAGCAGTTTTTTGAAGCAGATATTATCATCAACCCATTTTACAGATAAGGAAACAAGTTCATAGAGATGTAGTAATTTACCCAAAGTCACAGAGCCAACAGGTAGGTGGCCCATATTTGACTCCAGTGTATCTGACTCCGGAGTGCAGAGCCTGTTTGTGGATGCATACACACTAAACTCCAAGCTGAATGACAGTGGAGGCTGTCTGCACACACGAGCCTGGGACACTGCCTGGCTTGTAGGAAGTGTTCAATGAATCCTGCTCGGGCCACCACAGCCCCTCTTCCCGTTCTCGTTCTGAATTTGGAAGCACGTGTTTCAGGACTCAGAGAGCCCTGCCAGGCGTTCCGGTCAGCCCCTTAGCAGATGAGGAACCTGGCAGCCTGGGTGGGCATGTGAGGATGGCAGGGTCCAGCTGCAAGGACCTCGGCCCCTCCTTTTACACAAGGCCAGAGAAGCAGCACATGCACGTGGAGGGGCAGTCATGGAAGACAAGGTGTGTGTCACCAGCCTCCTCCCCACTTTTCCCCTAACACAGGTTCCTGTTTAAGAATGAGATGATACAGGGCCAGAGCTTCAATAAGTGGAGTACAGCATATTCCGGAGTGAAAAAAAGTTTCCATCTGTCTCAAGGGTCTGAAGAACGTCATGAGCTTATGAGAGGTTTCCTGTGGAGGATGTGGCTCAGGGCCGGGGT